TTGGTAGATAGGCTGTATTTACACCATAACGGTGCAGAGCTGATAGAAAGGGACACCTGGTGGTTAAAGCATGTTATTGAATTGTATTATTTTAAAATGTGTTAAATATATACACTGCAAAAAATAAATTAAAAGAGGAGCAAAAGTAGCCCCTGACTTGTTTTATTTTTTTAAAGTAGCTCTCATCCTAAAAAAGGATAACAGAGACCCCTGTTCTAAAACAACGTCAACCGACTTCCCCTTTCTGCTCTCGGCATAAGTACATAATCATTTGAAAGTGAATGTAAACAGATGTTTTTTTTGGGGGGAATTGCAGAGAAGATTGTTTCTTCTTGTGAGGAAAGTCTAATATGAGCTAAATGCTGTATCTTCCCTCGGATCATAAAGTTTGCCTCTTTTTTGCATTTGAATCCCATAAACTGTGGAGAAAATATAATATGCACACGCCTAAGCATTTGAGTGGTTTTACAGTTAGCTTACATAAGAAAGATCACAGTAAATGCACCAAGTTGATGTATTTGGAGAGAAAAAGTAGTTTTTGTAATATTTAAATTCTTAAAAGAGTCAGTATACAAACAAAGTGGGTTTTGAGATGTAAAACACAAGCCTATTGAGCAGCAATCATTTTAACCGTCCAAATAAAAAACACAAGGTGCTCTGTCCTCCCCTTCCAGAGGGATTTGTCCAGCTCTCTGTACCTCTAACCTTAGTTTTCACAAAATATGAGATCAGTTAAACCCCAGAGAAAGATCTGGAACACAAATCAGGTCATGTAAAATAAATGTTAAAGCTGCACAAAGTCTGACTGGCAGTCCCCCGTGGGCACAGCATGGGGAAGGTGACTGGCAGGTGTGTCCTCCAAACAAAAGGATGTTTCAGGGCAGACGAGGTTATTGAATCCTGAAGGACGCATGTGAAATCCAAAGCTGGGAATACTCGGACAGGAGGGTGCAGCTGGGAAAACAGACACGACAGGGACTAGTAGAGACATTTTCACCAAACTACCAGTCAAATTCAGGAGATAAAGACAAAATCATTCAACTCACATCTCCGATTGCATTCCAGACCTTCACCAGCGGTTTAGCCGCAACAGGCCCCGTTTCTTTAGTGTTTTTATTTAAAATGTTTTGGTTGTTGTCCTGTAGGTACCCTACAATAGGGCTGCACGATTATGGCATGAAATCAAAAATATTTGTATATTATGAATAAGTTAGTTATTTGCTATTGGATCATGACTATTTATTATGATTATTCACAGATTTGAGCAAATCTGCACTTTCACTTGTACAGAAACTGAGTACTGGTTTAACTTCTATGTGGTGCTTAATACCTGCGAATAACAAATCAGGGCTGTGCAAGATATTTACATAATATTGCAATAGTCCTTTCTGCAGGCGTTGTTAAAATATGACAAACAACCTTATTTCTGTAGGCTACATTTTAACGTTGATTGCATCAATCTGGAGCACTAATGAAAGACACTGGTTGTATATGTTGGTTTAGGAAGTGCTTCATTTGATGTGCAGGCGAGCACACATTTTAAACGTCAATCTTTTAGCCGATTTGTTCTTTCAAATTGTTGAAAAGCAATATTGTGATTGCGATTATTATTCTATTAATTGAGCAGCCCTACCTGACTAATTTTTAACATACTTATGAAACCCCCTCACTCTCTATACAAATTATTAAAACATTATTGCATCATGATTTAGCTTCTTTTACACTCATTATTTAGCTGTTTCAGAGGTGAAATAAAAAGAGGATCTCTGTTGAGCTTACTCTCATTCATTTTGTATGTGTTCATCTCAAAGCAGCACAACACAGCAATGCTCCATTTTAATTTAATTAGTTAGCTTCATCTGAATATTCATTTATTACCGTTATAATCCCCAATAAATGATATAATTATTCACAGTTTTGTCTTTAATAGAGGCATCGTTTGGCACTTCCAGTCTCTCAAGTCTTTCATTGATGGAAGAAACTGCGCTGTATTATCTTGATTAACCATGCATTATATTATGAATTGGCCTACTTTGTTAAACGTCAGCACAGATTAATTTGAACATGAAGCCACTGAATGGAACAATGTCAGTGTTGCAGGTTGAACAATCCACTTTAAGAACCTCTCACAAGCATCATATATTGACACCCCATGTCATATCTTATTTTTGCAGGTAGAAGAATTAAAGAGGACCAAGTCCGCTCTTATTCATTTTCAGATTCATATCAGTATGTAGTGTCTCTCCTGGGACATGTCTCCATGCTTTAATGTTCAAAAAGCTCTTTATTTTTCTCATACTGCCTGTGCTGCAGCACCTCTTTTCACCCTCTGTCTGAAACCAGAGCCCAGTATGCTCTGATTTGTTAGCTGGCCGGCTTTGTTGTGATTGGTCAACCACTTAGTGATGTCCCGCCCCTTTGTTTATCACGTAATATGTGTTGCAGCACTAGGAGTGAGAGTGTTCCATAAGTCATTAAACAAAGGAGTCTAGTGCAACCTTAAGTTGATTCTTTGTCATTATTTTTATAATTATTCAAGTTATTGTTATACACTCACCAGCCTCTTTATTAGGTACACCTTGCTAGTACCGGCTTCAGAACTGCCCTAATTCTTCGTGGCATAGACTCAACAAGGTGCTGGAAACATTCCTCAGAGACTTTGGTCCTGGAGATGGTAGAATCTGCTTCAATGTTCCATGTGTTATGGTTCAGAGATGGTCTTCTGCATGCCTTGGTTGTGACGAGTGGTTATTTGAGTTACTGTTGCCTTTCTATCATCTTGAACCAGTTTGGCCTTTCTCCTCTGACCCCTGGCATCAACAAGGCATCTTCTCCCAGAGAACTGCCGCTCTTTCCTCTTGTTCTGACCTTTCTCTGATGGTTGTGTGTGAAAATTCCAGTAGATCAGCAGTTTCTGAAATACTCAGACCAGCCCGTCTGGCACCAACAACCATGTCACGTTGAAAGCATAGACTGTATATATAAAGGTTCACAGTCACTTAAATCACCTTTCTTCTCCGTTACTTCACCAGGTCATCTTGACCATCTCTGCATGCCTAAATGCATTGCTGCCATGAGATTGGCTGATTAGATATTTGCGTTAACGAGCAGTTCAACAGGTGTACCTAAATAAAGTGGAAAATGAAACGGGATATTTAAAAAAAAGAAATTGTTTTCTTTCTAAAATCCAAAGAAATTCAACTTAATATCTAATAAAACAAAGAAAATTGGAATTTCCATATTTAAGCTGCTGAAAACAGCATTGTTTTTCCATTGTCATAAGATAAAAAAGTCTCTTAAACAATTTATCGTGTTTTTTCTGTTAATTGATGAACAAATGAGTTGACTAATTGTTGCAGCAGTGATGTTTGAACTGTATACATGAAAATACAATGAGCCATTAATGCAAACACTAATGCAACACAAAGAGCTCTACCTGCTCTTTGATCCACGATGAACCACGTTCCTTTACACCATTTTCTCGATGTTGTACATTTATAAACTATTCTCTCACGCGCCTCAGATCTTGACACCGTTTGGGCTCAGAGGATGAGCCCTCACACAGAATAACTAACGCAGGAACCAGCAGCTCTGAAACACGGGAGTAATACAGGAACCATGTCTTTTCATTTCTCTCTGGCTTAGTCTTACTTTGATCTGTTAGATGTACACAGTATCCCGTTGTAATGCACCATTCACATCACTTTATCCACTTTATTTACCTGCGCTGACTCAGCAATTTTTCTGTGAAGTAATGTTGTAGTAATTCTCCGGAAAAATAAATGTTTTGCTAAACACAGTGTGTCGCTGTGCAAAGGAGAGTTAGAGGGGTACCTTTATGTTTTATGGGTTTTCCATCTCCTGTAGTGTGTTATAGGTTTTAGTGCATGTGAAGGGTATGCAAAGGCTCAGATTGCCTGTGTTCCATCCAGAGGGAGTTTTCTCTCCCACACACTAGACTCCTTTGTTTACTTCCGGAACAAAGTGACATCACTATGTAACACTTGCGCTTTTATTTGCTAGCGCTCAAACCTATTGTACATGATAGGCTAAGGGGCGGGACACCTCTAAGTCATTGACCATTCACAACAGAGCCAGCCAGCTAACCAATCAGAGCAGATTGGGCTCTGGTTTCAGACAGAGGGTGAAAAGAGGTGCTGCAGCACAGGCAGTATGAGAAAAATAAAGAGCTTTTTGAACATTAAAGCATGAAGACATGTCCCAGGAGAGACACTACATACTGATATACACCTGAACATCAGCAGGAGAGGACTCTTTAAAGTAGAGACACTACATACTGATATACACCTGAACATCAGCAGGAGAGGACTCTTTAAAGTAGAGACACTACATACTGAGAGGACTCTTTAAAGTAGAGACACTACATACTGATATACACCTGAACATCAGCAGGAGAGGACTCTTTAAAGTAGAGACACTACATACTGATATACACCTGAACATCAGCAGGAGAGGACTCTTTAAAGTAGAGACACTACATACTGATATACACCTGAACATCAGCAGGAGAGGACTCTTTAAAGTAGAGACACTACATACTGATATACACCTGAACATCAGCAGGAGAGGACTCTTTAAAGTAGAGACACTACATACTGAGAGACTCTTTAAAGTAGAGACACTCATACTGATATACACCTGAACATCAGCAGGAGAGGACTTTAAAGTAGAGACACTACATACTGATATACACCTGAACATCAGCAGGAGAGGACTCTTTAAAGTAGAGACACTACATACTGATATAAACCTGAACATCAGCAGGAGAGGACTCTTTAAAGTAGAGACACTACATACTGCTATACACCTGAAAATGAACAAAATATGTCCTCTTTAAAAATGAGAAAAATCATCAATCAATACTCTCTAAGGACTGCAGGGAATCAATATTATATTTATCCAACAATGGAAAATAAATGTATGTAGACCATCACTAACGCTGTGTTTGCAAGTGTCATTTAGATATAAAAGCACTTTGCAACTTTTATCAGAATAAAATCCTTTATATTCTCTTGACAGGAAAGCAGTTATTTGTGATTGTCAGACAGGCTGCTGGAATAGTCTGTTTGTAATCATGAACATTCAACACCATGTCAAAAGTGAAGGAAATATGATAAATGGATAACTTGCTCTATCTTCATTTTACGCCACTGGAAACATTTTTAAAATTATGATGGAATAACAAAAGAACAAGCAAGAAGGCAAATAACAGTCATATTTACTGCAAGGTTTACACTCAGTGTAATAAACTGCTCATTTAGAATAGTTGTAAATGTCATTTTTTATAATTTATTGTAACTCCAAACAAAAATAATTTCTACAAAAAATATTCAAATAATGTCATATAATATTGATACGTGGTTGATATCTTTTTCTCTCTCTTTTAGACTTCTGATAAGTTAAATTCTGTTAAATTCTGCTTCCTGAATACTGTGTGAAGATTAAATCTCGCTAAGTGTGGCAACAATCACTCATTCCTATAACATCCACAATAGTGACTAAATTCTTTTTTTATAATTTGTAACCCCCTGGATATAATATAATATGTATAATCTCAGCGACTGTAAGTGGGCACATTAGATACAATGACTCAAGATATAATTATTAAAAAAAGAAAAGCAGCAGAAATAGAATAAATGTAAAATCAAGTCTCATCTTCTGAGAGGAAATGAAACCTGGTTAATATACTATGTAGGCCTCAGCAGCGGGATCGAACGCCGTCGAGCGTTCCCACACACACACGTCGGCCGTCATTCAGACGGAGGTGGCATCCAACCAAGGAAAAAGGAAAAAAGAAAAGGTCCACATGTGTGTAACAGCCATTCCCTTAGAAGTGATACAGTGGTGACTTAAGTGTTTATGCTTTTTGGTTTGATGCACATTGCTCCAGCTCAGGAATAAAGGGAACAGTGGTTGGTATGATTCCCCCCCCCCCCCCCACTCTTTCCGTCTGCATCTTTTTTCTCTGAGGTCGCTCCTCTTTTTTTCTCACAACTGAGCACACACTCGGTATCATAACAGTCCTGTGAGGTGTGTGTGTGTGTATTTATGTGTTTGAAAGGGGCTAGTTTGTGTAGTGTGAGTGAGCTCTTTGCGAGTGCTGCAGTGTGTTCAACGCGTCCAGGCGGCCCTTCAGACCCCTGGCCTGGCGTACACACACATAAACACACACTCCCTGGTCCGAGGGGGTTCGGTGGCTCAGTGGGGCGTTAACGTGTTCAGCAGGTTTGCTAGCAGAGTGCAGAGCAGCAGGGCGGCCGTGCTGAGGTGCAGGGGGGGGGCGGCGCTGCAGTCTTTGCCCGCCTCGCAGCGGGACTGTTGGCACAGGACCCCCTTAAACTCTGGAGGACAGATGCACTTCTGGTTCTGGTTGCATGTTCCTCCGTTCTGGCATAGGAGCATCTCCTCGTCACAAACGTTAGCTGAGAGGGAGCAGACCGAGAGAGGATCACAATCAGAATACCTTTGTTCGTCCCACAGAGGAGACATTTACATTGTTACAGCTAAAGTCAAGATGGAGGCAAACAATGAAACACTATTAGATAAAGGGCATGCACATAATATTTAAAATGTTATGTGTTTTTCCTTGTATCGTGTCTTGATCTGATAATAAAGAATTCATTGTATCGTAGTTAAGGATTTGCAGACGTAAGTCGAATGAGAGAGGAGTTGGGAATAAAGAGGGCACGGCAAAGTGACAGGCGGTGAAACGATAGCGTGGGCGTAAAGAGCACAAAAGAAAGATGTATGGCAAAGAGAAAGACAGGTGAGGGGAGATAAGGAGGGGTAATGTCAGAAAGAGCATGATGGGAAACAGAGATACTTGGGGAGGGGAGGAATCCAGGGCAAAAAGAACAAAGTAGAAAATAAAGCGGGAGGAAGGGAAGAGGCAAGATGAATTCTCCAGTCTCTGCCTCAGGGACAACAACAGGTAACACCTGCCTTTTTTGTTTTTGCAGCCCTTTTCTCTGTCTGTTTTTCTTGAGCCTGCACTTTCTCAGGGTCAAGTAAAAAATCCTTGTCTCAAAGCCAGCAGAAAATACACTGCGCATGCTATATTTGCTAAGTAATGATCGGAGAAAGGAATAACATCATTACAATTCTATAAAAGGCATTAGGGAGAAACACAGAGGTACTGCAAGAGATACTTGGCCTGAACATTTTCTGTGAGAAAGAAGAGGGGATCAGGCTTTCATGACAAGAAATAATTACATGAGCAAACATCTTATCGCTAAGATAATTAGCTATTTGGAGTAACATGTCAAATCTAAAACATACTGTGATACTACATGTCCCTTATTGTACATAAACACACAGTCATAAGACTTGCATGCCTGTGGAGTTTGTGTGTGTGTGTGTGTGTGTGTGTGTGTGTGTGTGTGTGTGTGCGTGCGTAGGGTCTGTGGGAGATGGTGGATGATAGAGGTAGGCCTTTCCCTGTAATGGGGTTAAGAAGTGACAGGGTCATCAATTAAAGGAGTAGCTGATGCTGCTAATGAGCTCCATAATCTATTCCCCCGGGAGGAAAGAGAACATGGGAGGATGCCGAGCTGCAGCCTGTGGCACAGCAACTTCCTGTAAAGCTACTCTGTTGTTCTCCTCTGGATTTCTATAGAGTTGTGAAGTGCCCAATAAAATCATGCCTATTAAAAAAAAGGTTGTTTTTTGGTGTCCGGCAGCTTATCCAAATACCTTCACCCTAAACACTGCACTTCCTCGGGTCCTGAGCAAAACATCTGCCAATTGTGATGTCGATCAGATGAGCCATTGTTGAGGTAAATGACTAATCAAAACGTCCCGTACACCTCCGGTCTCTGCCTTCCTCTGTTCTTCACTAATCTGTAGTGAGAGCTTTACCCAGCATGCTGTTCAGCCTTGTAAAAAGAAAACCTTATTTTTATTGATACCAATGCTACTATCCATTCTGTTTATCGGTCTAACTCTTTATTGATTGTCTTATTGATTCATAATGAGTTTTCTGTATGGACAAAATGAGTATGCCTGCACAGGATTTATCATATGAGTCTGAACACAGTTTAGAGTGTCTGCATATAACATTTGAACATGTCAAACTAATGGGAGCAGGGGGCCACGTCTCTCCCTGGAGTTAGAGAGGACACATAGAGCGCTAGGAGTCCAGCTAGGACGAATAAGTGTTTGATTATGAAAGTTACGTTGAGGTAATTCATGAACAACACTGCTATTTCTTGATGCAAGTTTCCAGCAGGGTAGATGCAGAGTTTGACACCATGATGCATTAGTTGATGCCAAATATGTAAAATCAGATCATTCTTTTTTTTACTCAAACAGGACATATCAGGAAGTCTGGGGGACCTTTCTTTAATGCATTCAATACTCTGTAAAACAATCTGTTATTGGTATAGTTATCTGAAGTATATATATGTATATATTAATTTAATCAAATTCCTTGATCCAAATGAAATCAAAGTATAGATGTGACAGAGACTCACAGTAACAGCCTTGTTTCCAGTAGTATCCGGGCAGACAGTCGTCACACTTGGCCCCCGTGGCTCCGTCTTTACACTGGCAGTAGCCCGTGCCGTTACACCGGTCATGAACAGAACCCATCTGGTTGCAGTTGCACTCTGAAGGAGGAGGGATAAGGAGAGATTTGAAATTCAGATTTGACCTAGAGTTGAATTAAGTTTGGCCTAAACGTGTGCATTTGTATTCAGACCACATATTTGTCTCTGTATTGATGGCTTTCAGAGCTGCAGCGCTGTGTGTCAGGTGGATGTTCATCAAAGTACAAAGGCACACTTCTGCAGATATTCAGACCTGAAATGAAGGCTCTTTTTTAGCAAGATTTGTTTTGCCTTTTTCAAACCATGCATCTGTTTTCTTCCATAGAACTCCCAGATAATGTGATATGGTGTCTGGAGATATAAACTACTGTAATTTAAAGCATTTTTAAAAGCTGTTATTTGATCTTACAGACAGTCAAATACAGCCTGAAAGAGACTAAAGTCCTTCCAAACAGAAAATGAAATGACAGAGGGGTTTTTGTCACATATATATCATCTGTTGTTTGGGAAACGTATCCCATCTAAACAGAACTGCAGGTTATTTTGATCGCAGCATATCTGCTTTCAAAGGCAGGTAGAATACGTGCAGGAAACATGGCAGTGTTTTGAATAGTTTAGGGAGATGCTGACGTCTTTTTTGTTGTGCTACATAATTAAACCACCTTAAGGTTCCTTCTGTTGACATTCATATGATGTTTGATAGCTTAAAAAACACAACTTACTCATATTTCATCTCCGAAACGCTTTGAACTCTCCTTTACTACCAATAACACATTGGTACAAATGTTTTTCTTGCCTTGAAATGCTAACTACTTAATGCAATTCACACTTTAAAAGAAGATGACATTGAATTTTAAAGCATCATTTGTATTTCGTGCAATTTGTGCATCGTTATACATATATTAATAGATGCTGACTGATATCCAGATCAGTGGTAGCAGATCAGAGGTGGTGAAAAACTGCAGAGCTGCACATTTGCATTGCATCTGTCAGTTTGTGATGAATCAAGGATTTATCTCATAGTCTGATGTTAGCACATAGCTTGTCTTTCACTGTCAAATTACCTCATTCATAATCAAGTTTGATATCAAATATTAATTGAAGTGAAACAGATTACGCAACCACAGCAATGCAGATGCGATCCGTGTGTTTGTGGGTCAGGATATTGGGATTGCATGTGAGCCGCTGAGTGAATGCGTAGCTGTTTACAAATGCATTAGTGTTTGGGAGGCCCTGCCTTCTCGCTCTAGAGACGCGCAGTGTGAACTGATTTCTGCTGCCATGCTCGCTGTGTGCCAATGAGCTGGCAGATCAGCTAATGGGGACTTATTTGTGCTGACTCCAAAACCTGGCCCTGCGCGCCTCAAACACCACGGCTTTACCCTCCAACCCCCTGCAGTCCACCTACAGACGGATCCAAGTCAACACCAGATTTGAGCTCCACAGCTATGCAAACACACTGACCTCTTTTTAGGACATGCCCTCAATTAGATTGGGTTTAAAAACAGTAAATACAATGTGACAGTATTCAAACCATAAAGTGTTTATATAGTCAGAAATAATATTATCAGCTATGTTATTGTTTTTGCTCACTTGCACCTCAGCACATTGAATTTCAAATGTTTAAGTGTTGAATTTGAGCTTTAAGGGTGCCTGAGGGTGTTTGCATTTGTATTAGTCAAACATTGTTGGACTTCTAAACCTTTTTATACTTACAGTATTACCCCCAGATTCAGGACTATGCTGCAGGGCAGTGAGCCGAGACATGTTTAGTTTTTTTAATGTAAAAACAAGTTTTCTTCGCTGAGTCTAGTGAAGATCTGAAAGAGCATCTTCTGGGATCACACATTTCAGCTCATATCTGACTATTACAGATTTGTTACAGCATGGTACCTTACCTTACATAACTTTATTGAAATCTGCAGTAAACACATTTTTTGGTCATTTTTATCAGTGAGAGTCAAACTACCGGTATATCACTGTATAACTTTGCTGTTTTCAACGTTTTTCAGCTGCCCATTTAAAAATACAAAGGATATGAAACAAGCCTTTTTTGTTTATTTAAAATATATTTAGGCATCTGATGACAAAATGATGTCCATTATGCAATCTTATTTTACCTCAAGTTTCCAACATCTTATAATACCTGGCACTTTAATGTGTGGTTCCTAGATCCTCCCCGGTGTTTCTCACACAGCCACTCCCTGTGTCTGTCTGCTGTTTGCTGCTGAGTGTTTATTATACGGTGGGTTTTTGGAATGTTTTACAAAATAAAAGCTGCCTGCTGCATCTGAAAATATGATGAAAGCACTGCGAGTGAAATAAGGTTATCAATTAATTTATCGACCATATTACTGATTATTGATTAATCAAAACTTATAATTTAACCAGCAAAAAAAAATTGAACATTGTGTTAATTAAAGTTAAAGTGAATTGATTTGTACAAAGTGCATTCTTTGTGAGTAACGTCTGATTATAAATATGACTTTGGTTTGGAAAGAGAGGAAATGCCACAGGGCACCTTTTTAAATATTTAAAATACAATAATCGTTAACCTTTCACTAAATGTGGTCTATAAAGGTGTCAGAAAAAGCCGCTGTATATTTGGCAGAACTTTCATTTTTCTAAATAGGATGAACTACTGTGTGCATCTTTTTAAAACGTTACTTCTAAATTACCTTTTTGTGGCTGAAACATCTGAGTTGTTGGTAGAATTTTTTAGAAGTAGTAACATGCCCTTTCTGTCACACACGCACGCACGCACGCACGCACGCACGCACGCAGGCAGGCAGGCAGGCAGGCGCACACACACACACACACACACACACACACACACACACACACACACACACACACACACACACACACACACACACACACACACACACACACACACACACACACACACACACACACACACTCCCTGAGCCCCCTGCAGACTGACCGATGCACACGTTCTCATCATCTAGCTCGGCAGAGGCGTTGCGGAAGTATCCCAGCCTGCAGTGCTGGCAGTTCTGGCCTCGGGTGTTGTGCTTGCAGCTGACGCACGTCACGATGTTCAGGTAGTCGATGTAGCTGCAGCGGTTGGAGTGGCCGTAGCACTCACAGTCTGAGAGAAGAGACACATTTATTTTACTAGGTGATTCAAAATACAAAAGCTACAGAGTAGTGGTTGGCAATGTCATTTTATATAATACAAGATAAAATGTACTTAAGACATAATAAGAAAAAAACAAACAATTTAAAAATAAAATGCAGCAATGAGCGTACAGTTGTATTATTATTTATTTATTTATATTAATGTATTATCACAATTGGTATTATTATGTATATAAAACAAGGACCATATATAAAACTCACAGATCTCAAAAAGACATTAGCTGATTTATGCCAAAATGTTTTAATTTCCACTTGCAGTTTAATGAAACACACTGTTATGATATAAATGATATTTAATACTTATACAGTATGTGGACTGTAAACAGATATACAGAGATCGAAGAGTTGAAGAGTCTGTGGGCAAAAACTGTCCCTGAGTCTGGTGGTCTTTCCTCTGAGGACATTTGAAGTCACTTTGGAAAGGGTGGTATCTTTTCTTAAGCATTCTCATGGGATTCTTCAGGGACAGAAGGAAATGCACTAACAGATTAGTCTGATGGTTTTAGACGTCACTGAGCAGAGGACTCTGAGTGTGTTTTATGACTCGCCTCTCTGACTCTATATTGGTTCAATAAAGACAGACCCCTCCCTCTCCATTACTACACACAGGTTTGCTGAGTGTGCTTCACTGGGCTGCACTGATTACTGATGGGAATTCCTCATCTATCCGTGTGTGTGTGTGTGTGTGTGTGTGTGTGTGTGTGTGTGTGTGTGTGTGTGTGTGTGTGTGTGTGTGTGTGTGTGTGTGTGTGTGTGTGTGTGTGTGTGTGTGTGTGTGTGTGTGTGTGTGTGCATGCTTGCTTGTGTAAATGTGAGTACAAGCATGTTAATTGTGTCTGGGAATTTAATTGCATTACCGGGTGAGTAGATTATAATAGAGAATCCTAACCGAGGGAGTTTGAGGGGAGGGATGCGCTTTCAGCTTACTGCACCTGATAACAGGAAGTCAGTCTGACATCACTTAACCTCCACTCACTCTCTTCTCTGCTCGCTATTTGTTCGTCATTTCTCTTTCAAAAGATACTACACACCTAGAGCTCTTAATTACATTTTCTCTTTCGAATTCATGAATAATCTGGGAGGATTGCATTGCAGGTTATATTCTCTTCTAGGATAAATGCGTGATGAATTCAGACTTCTTCCATATTTTACACCCTGAAACCAAGGGTTAAAAAAAGAAGACCTTCTTCATAACAGAGGGAGCAATAACAACCTGATATAATTGACTGTAGGATCCGCATTGTGCAGATGAGTGCACCAAGTGTTGCTCCACATTTTCACTATGATTAACTCGGCCCGGCTGGTACCTAATTAAGCTTTTATTAAGCTTTAGAACTTGGCTGCAATAGTGTGCTGCAAGGCATCACTGTCCTCTAAAGAGGCGTTTACCAGGCATGTTTATGCAAATACACATTTAAATGCACATTAAAAAGTCGGAGTTTAGCTGTTTAATCAGCCATCACATTATTATTTTATTATTGTTTGGTTGATGATGCCAGCTGAAATATTAATGAGCTGGTTTAAAGGAAGCCAGTGAGAGCAGCGCCATAAAGTGCCTCTCTCAGCACTGAGGAAGCCACGCCGGCGGTGGGGGAAGAACTGCCTAATTAAATATAAATGGCCGATTACTCCACAGACTAGAGAGGCAATGGGACATTGTTTCACAAATTACCGTTAAGATTCAAGATGCTGCTTTATCGGTTTTTATCAATTGCAAATTGTTAACGGTGAAAGACGGAGTGTGATAGAGCTATCTGCTTCAAAGACTCTCTGAGGTTGAAGGAAAAATTGTATATTTAGCTAACAAGCATCCCTTCTCCAAAAAAATCAATAAACAGGGACGGCAACGACTTGATGGTTTAATATGAAACACTTACCTTGATCGTGTACATACAGCAAGCAAGAGGGAATGAGAATGAGCGAAATGAACAACATAAAGCATGCAATGAAAGTCATCTTTCCACAGGTTTTCTGCTTGGAAAACAGCATCCACACTTAAGGCACAAGAGTTTATTGATCTGAACCTAAAGAGTCCAGAGGATTAAACCAAGCATACATTTCCTCAGGCCCGGTGTCGCTCTCTTACCTCTGAAAGCATCGTATATGATCCCAAACAACTGTCTGGCCTGGGGCTCTCCTGAGATCAAGAGTTTCAGGAGTCCTTGAGGGATGAAGGTATCTTAGTTCAAGATTTGTCTCCACATCATTCACTGCGCCACAGTCAGCTAAAGCATTATACCTTCAAACAGCAGGTATGGGTTTGCATCAGTACTACAGAGAGGTCCTAGGTGGAGGGGATTCCCACTAGATTTTACATTAAAGAGGAGGGTTGCTTTGTTCTATAAAGCTGACATAATCTTCACCTAGTGCAGTGTTTCTTAACTCGTTGGACAGATCCCAAAAGTCAGATTTTGTGAGAGTCTGTAAGCAAAGAGCAACTGCAGTGCTGCACATGACTCAAGAGTTTTTTCAGCTTCACATTTGAGTTTTGTTAATATCTGTGTGGACATGGAAAGTAGTGTAGCTTGTAGCTTGTTGTCCCTGAACACCCACATGGTGTTTTCAGTTAATCTGGCTGATTAGACAACTTCTCAGACTGTGTGGGTAGGAATAGACTGTAATTGATTGACGTTTTCCTGAGTCTCCTTTTTAGATTATGTGCACCTGCCTGGAAGAATTACACCTTTATCAATCTTTCTGGTAGGTCTAATCAGCCAGAATACCTGAGAACAACTGTGTGTGGGTGTTCACAGGCTTTAAAGCAAATCATTATAAAAACAACAACATCAAAGTTCATTATTGACCTTGGAAAGTCACATTGACAGACCTTGTGTTTAGAAAAAGTGCAGTTCTGGAGCTTTTGATTTCAATACAAGGCACCGGCCTACCGTGCTTTTTAAAATGGACATTGTCTTAACATCATCTGAACAATAAAGACTGGTCAAACTGGTAAGGGAGAGTGTGTGATAGAAGAGAAATGTTGCATGTTTTTCTTGAAAATACTCAGAAAAGCTTATAGACCCATTAAACACTGCTGCCAAAAGCGTATGAGATGAATAAAGAATGCCAGTTTAGAGATCAAACTGCTTAAATGATCAACTGTGAGCGCAAATGATTTGTTTAATAGAGCTATAACCGCAATACTTTGTTGCTTATTAACCTCATCATGATAAATTGTGGTCCCCATTGTGCAACCAGTCATGGATCACTCTTCCATAACATCATTTTAAATTCTACCTTTCTGTTTCTGTCTTTCTGTCTCTTCTCTGTCTTCATCCTCTCTCCCAGCAGAGTGTTTTGAGGTCTCCTGACTCCCACTTTCCCACTCAGGTTTGTGGTGCACTACAAAGAATCAACAACTTGCAAATCAATCTGTATTGACGTAGACCAGATTATCTCTGGCTGTTTCACCAAACTAGACAGAACAGCGGCTACTGACAAGACACCAACAGCCAATGATTTGTGAGAAACCTTTGCTAGTATAGATCCTATCTACATCCGTAATTGACCAAAGAAATAGGGTTAGATCATCAAGCCTGTTTAGAATATTAAATATCTGTTCACATCCAAATGTTCTGACTTTCTATAATCCCTTGAACAGACAAGAACTGAGGGTGTTTAAAAAAGTTAACACATTATTTTGACGGCAGAAAGAACATGGGTTATTGTTGTTTAATGTGAAATTCATATTCCTTTTCTAGTCTATCCATTTCCCACTCCATTATCCTGCTTGCTTGTTATATCCTTCCCTACAGTGTCAATCATTGTCACATATAAAAATATGGCGCTACAGTTGGTACCAAATTAAGATTTTCCTTAAAGCGAATGTTGACTGACAGGTTATCAGGTAGTTGGAGATAAATTTAGATACGTTTCCAGTTTTAGTTTTTTCACTATGAGCTGCCAGGTTTAACTCGCAGTGACAGTTTATCTACAGCATGTTTACAGATTCACTTCTAATCACAAATCAACAAAAACAATGCCACCTCAACATTAAAAGACACATCTCTATTTTCATCTTTTCTCTCTTGCCACGATGTCTCATGTAGGTGTTCTTTAAATGTATGGGAGACTGACTAAACCAGAATTGTAATTGACGTAAACCAAAATAGGAGGTAAAAAGATTAATGAGATTTCTACCATTACCGATAAGAGATTTTTTTTCGTCGCCATGTGTCTTATGTTGGTGCTCCTAACTTTCACGCCACATTAATCATAAACACAACAAGCAAAGGCAAACTATGCCTAAGGCATTGAATATGTTTTCATCCTCAACCATCTTTATACTCAGACAATGTTTATCTGAGTTCTTTGGTTCATTTTTTGCTTTTTTAAACTGAGATACAAATAATTTGCTCATGTTGGTGCCAAATTAGGATTGCCTACAACCAAGCTACGTATTTGACACAAATACATTAATTTGGATCAAATTCTGTCGTTCAGAGTGACCCATTTTAACAATTGGAGTTGCCAAGTTTAGCTTGTGATCAGTACATGTCCTTCAGGCTTGCAGGAGACTGCCCACAATTGTCAACATACAGTATGAAGCAAAAACAAATAACCATTTTGCTAAAAGATAATGTGCTATGTAGTTCGGCTCTACGGGTAAACTACAGTAAAAACTACAAGACCTATGCCACCCCTACATGTACCTTTACTTTGAGCGTTTCTCTCCTCTCCGTGCCTAGGTGAGGTTGTTGTTTTGTGACCTTGAATATCATGTTCGTATCCATGAGTCTTGTGTATGTGTCCTTCAGGCTTGTGGGAGACTGACACACATAAAGGACATAGCAATCAACAGCTGTTATACATTTGTTCTGTGACAAATTTGGTTTGGGTTGGAAGTTGCCAAGTTTAGCTTGTGCTAAAAATGTATATACTACATATTCGAAGAACACTAGATTAACTACACTACTAACATATACCTTTGTGTTCCGCCTCACTATTTACACTGTGCCCAGATGAAGAGGTGGTGTTGTGGCCATGAGACTCTTCTATGTGGCCATGCATCGATTCTTCGATGCCAAAAGTGAGAATGTGGCCATGAGTCTGTTGTTTGTGGCCATGAGTCTCTCTTACTTGGCCATGTTTCGGTTGTACCTGGCCTGGAGTCTCTTGTACATGGCTATGCATCTCCTGTACATGGCCATTAGTCTCTTCTTTCTGGCTATGAGTCTCTTCTTTGTGGCCGTGAGTCTCTTCTTTGTGGCCATTAGTTTCTTGTGCGTGGCCATGAGTTTCTCGTATGTGGTCTTTTGAATTGTGGCCATGAGTCTCTTCAACGTGGCCTTGAGTCTCTTGTGCATGGGTATGAGTCCCTACTATGTGGCCTTGAGTCTCTTGTGCATGGCCATGTGTGCCTCGTATGTGGTCTTTTGTCTCTGTTACGTTACCATGAATCTCTGATTTGTGGTAATGAGCATCTTCAACGTGGCCATGCGTTGGACCATACGTCTCTTGTTCATGACCACGATTTTCTGTGTGGCCATGTGTCTCTTTAACGTTACCATGCATATCTGGTATGTGGCCTTTTGTCTCTTTTAAGTGACCATGAATCTCTAATCTGTGGACTTCAGTCTCTTTGACATGGTCATGCGTTGGTTGTACATGGTCATGCGTTGGTTGTAATTGGCCATGAATCTCTTCTTTGTGGCCATGAATCTCTTTTACATGGCCATGAGTCTCTTGTACGTGACCATGATTGTCATTTACTTGTCCATAATTCTCTGATTTATGGCCATTCATTTCTTGTACATGGCCATGAGTCTCCTTTACTACGAGATGTGATTCTTGTATTTGAGCATGGATCTCTGGTTTGTGACCATGAGTCTCTTCAACATGGCCATGCGTTGGTTGTACCATGCCAAGAGTGTCCTGGACTTTTACATAAGTCTCTTGTTGGTGGCCATGCGTCTCTTCAATATGTCCATGAGTTTCTTGTACCTGGCTATGAGTCTTTTGTAAATGGTCATATGACTCTCGTTTGTCGACTTCAGTCCCCACTATGTGGCCGTGCTTTTCTTGTACATGGCCATAAGTATCTTGTAGGTGACCATGAGAGTCTTTTTTGTTGCCATGAGTCTCTTGTCCGTGTCCCTCAGAATTGTGGGAAACTGAAACATAACAGTTGTCTTTTAATACAACAAACAAAAAGTCAAAACATGGGCAAAAAAACATGGGCAAAAAAACATGGGCAAAAAAACAGGGGCAATGTTTTTGCTTAATTGCCAGGTTTAAATTGTGGAGGAGGTTCGTCTACTGAAGATTTTCATCACTACAGGTTGACTACAGTATATAGAACTACAAGATTATTGCTACCACTAAATACCATAAAAGTACCTTCCTCTTGCTCAGATGAGACTGTTGTTTTGTGGCCATGAGTCTGAAGTTCATGCTCCTCAGACTTGTTGGGGACTGAAACACCACAAATATTATTCACATTAAAAAGCAAACATGTTGATACATTTCTGCATTTCCCACTGTCAGGAGGGCGAGTTGCCAAGTTCAGCTTCTAAGGAAAGTTTGGCATATTTTTTGCAACTGAAGTAAACTAAAGTATGTAAATATTGGAGAACTTTGCCTTCACTTCTTATAAAAGTGATACCTTTTCTTTTGTTCTGCTCGTCATGCTCGCTTTCCGCCCCGTGCCCAGATGGCGGTGTTTTGTATTCATGGGCCTCATGTACAAGTGCCTCATATTCAAGGGGAACTGAAACACAACACTCCCCATTGAAATAACAAACAAAAGTCTACAAATATATCTGCTATTTCCATTGTTTTAGGGAATCATGGTTGAGAGTTGCTTTGTAGTGTACTTCACATGTTTGCATAAGTTATACTACAACATTCATCTACATTAACTCTATTGTAGTGGATATACTCTAACTCTCTACATACACAATATATACAGTACCTGTCTCTTCAGTTGTTTTTTCTTCACCATCCTCCTGCTCCTCCTCACTATCCTTCCCTTGCCCAGGTAAGGTTGCTGTTTTGTTGCCTTGAGTCTCATGAAAGTGTCCCTCAAACATGTGGGAGACTGAAACACCGTAATCGAAAAATAAGTTTGATAAGAGACAGTTTTGCTTTAAGTTGCCAAGTTTACCACAATGTGAAATTCTATACTTTAAATCATCACCACTACACCCAATTACATTTGGCTACAATCACTACGCTATGTAGTCAAAATATACCTTGCATATGTCGAGGTGAAGTTTTTTTGCAGCCATGGGTCTCATGTACCTCTCCTTCAGATATATGGACTAAGACACCACAATGTTCATTAAAATAACAAGAATAAATCTATACCTATTGTTTCACCTTATTTTTTAGGGGGCCATGTGTTGTGAGTTTCTACGTTTGATTTTTTATTTTATTGCACATCTGTTTTCATACTTTTGATCAGTATATGATTGTATAAATCAGATATTGTATCATATTAGATTTGTATACTTTACACAGATAGAAGATTGACACCGTAATGATATGTATCATGAGAAAACACAGTTGTCGTCACAAAAAAGAAACGGTTCAACTATTACTAAGTTGTAATAGTTTATCAACTTCATATCCTTTTCTCAGCAAGATAAATCTGTAGATAAATACATTCTTTATCTATTTCACCTTCATCCTACTATTGGTGCCAATTTGATTTAGCTCCATCGCTTTTGCTGAGTGACTATCAGGTTTTTACGGTCCTGCTTTTCATTGTGTGCTGTCAAGTTATACTCATAGTAAAAGTTTATCTACTGCATATTTACAGCACCAAAGTAAAGTACTTTATATAAATCCACAAGAACGACGCCACAACAAAGTATAAAATAATAATGCCGCTCTTTTCAGTTTCTCTAGCTTTATGATCCTTCTCCTTTTCTGTTTTGAGGCCAATATAATCAGATTTTGTACAAGAACGCATGAGGTGTTTTACAGGCTGAACAAAAAGAACTTTATAATTAGTCTGATACTGCAGTGGGTTAAGATTACTGATATCGTCTGCCTTTCTCCCCTTTTTCCTCAGGGACCTTGTTTTCTTTTCTCTTTTCCTTTCACCCTCTGTCAGATAGTGGATCATCATGGGCCTCAGCCCTGGTTCTTTTATTTTTTGGAAAAAGCTTTGAGTCAGAGAAGCTTGAGAAACTCGTTCATCACGGCACTTTCCTTCTGCGTGTGGAAGAAATGACATGCACTTCCTTTTATCTGAATGTCCTGACATTTCGTGTATGTGCTTGTATCTTTGTTCTTTTTTACAGTAGAAGAGTATCTTATTCTATATCTGGTGAGAGTGTATTTGCCCAAAATATGAATATTCATAGGATGCTATATCATGTATTGTATTGCTTCCCCTTATGTTGAGATTTAATTTTCTCTGCGGTGCGCTCACACGAAGAATCTCAAATCAACTCTAGCTCACGCATCCCGCTTTCACTGCATTTTTAATTGTCGCTTGCTCAAGTTTTCCCTTTTCTTTTTCTTTACTCTGTATGTTCCACTTTCCCAGAGGGCTTTATGCCTTTCCCAGCATCCTTTGCTTTGTGTTTTTGGGGCTACGAATAAAATAACAGAGATGTGAAACCGGTTCAGTTTATGGATCAAGCTTCCTCTTCCTTTTAGGGGGCACAATTCAATAAATCTAAACACCACAGTCTTTCTCACAGATTCGATTCAGACTAAAAAATATAATTAGCCAATCGCATGAAGCGACCACAACATGCACGTCATTGAGGGACTAATGATCACCACACCACCAGAGAATACAATGCTGCATGCATCCATCTGGGTTTCCCCTTGAGGTGTTTTTGCACCGGCGATGTACGTCTCCAGTTATTCTTCAGAGTGGGGCATCCTGCAAGCATCCTGCTCCCCTGCAGAGCATCCCGCTTCAGGCGATCTCCCGCCCACTCACTCCCCCTTCATCCTTCCCTCCCCCTCCCTGGGGCTCCAGTGAGACAGGCCGCCAGCAGCTGTTCTCACAGCACCCTGGACCATTTCACACAACTGGCATCATGCCATCAGTACATCTCATCAAAGTAACCCCTGCCTCCCCCTACTCATGTCCGACTCTGGCCCCACTGGACCTCCTCTCTCACACATCTGTCACCGCTGCACACGCACGCATTCACACACACACACACACACACACACACACACACACACACACACACACACACACACACACACACACACACACACACACACACAGGAGAACAAATCCTCTCTTGTGGGAGAAAAGGAGTCTGAATCACAGTTGTTTCAAAAGGCTGATGTAGCACAGCAGTGAGCATAAATGCATTTCATCTCAGGACCGGTGCTGCCTTGGGGACAGGAGTGATTTGAACTGTTCTTGGCATTAATCTCAATCAGCTCACCCGAACTGTCTGAAGCAGCGTTCAAAGTTCCTGCTCACTTTACACAGACACATAAGAGGAACCTCAAAGATCATGTCTTCATTTTATTTAAATCTTGACATTCATGTATTATTGCCCCTCTATGACATAATATATCTTTTACTGCAGTAAGATAAAGTATATATTATTTATTTTCCCTCCAAATTTCAACCCCAAAAAGACAATTTGTATATACATTACTCACCATGTGCTACCTTGAATTTGTGAAAATAGTGAATAGACTTGATGATTTGTATTACATTTGGGCTGTTTTGCGGTTTAGAAACAGCCTTACTATATCAAAACTTTCGTTATGTTCACTACTTCCCAAATGCATTTTCACTTAAACTTTAGTATTTGAAACACTTCTGCATAAACAGTTTCACGCTTGTGCCATCATCTGTTAGAGTATTGTGTTTTGCAGAAATGTAAATATTGTTTTTTTTGTTGTTGAATGTACACGTTTGTGAAGTAGTGAGCTTATGACTGGACAAACGACACTTGAATTATAATGCACGAGTTGTGAGAGAATTTGTAAATAGGTCATTTGATTTACGGTTGATATACTGTTTCTAAACAGAGCCCCCATTTACGTCAATCCATCCAAAGATGTTCTCCATTTTTGTTGAACTTTTTTCCCTGTTGAGGCATACCAGATAACTTTCTTTAAAAATTCACGGTAACTCGGGCTGAGTGATTTTTATAAAAATTATAATTTTGGCATGGAGTATTCTCCTAATGTTAAGGGGGATGTTTTTGGATTAGATCTGATTCTGTCTGCTGTTACGTCTTCACATCTTTCTGTCACTCTGATCATGTGGCTGATACTCAACAATCCGCTCTCTGTCTCCAAATGATGCAAAGACAGAGTCATCTGAGACGTTTCTCAACCTGCCAGAGCTCATCCTGCCTCTCACTCACTCGCCCACATTAACTCCATTCCACTGCCACGAACCTAAATTGAATAAGCGTCCCTGACATGTGATACGATGCTGAACAACATAAGATTATAAAAGCTTATGAGGACGTTAACGTCACTTTCACCTCCTGAACAATGTCCATTTCAGAGAGGTTCCACCCCATAAAAACCATCAAGCTGTAACTAAATTAGATTATTCTATTTTCTGGCACTACTCTATATCTACT